TATTCACCAGCACCATCTCCTCTCAAACCCTAGTTCATCTCTTGTATCCAATCTTTGTACCAAAACCTCAGATTGGTACCTGTGGGTTGCTAGTAGTGTTGATTACTCCATGTAGTTGATGCTAGTTGGTTTATTTCGTGGAAGATCATATGTACAGATCCTTAATGCATATTAATACTCCTCTGATCATGAACATGAATATGCTTTGTGTGTAGTTATGTTTGTTCCTGAGGACACGGGTGAAGTCTTGCTATCAATAGTCACGTGAATTTGGTATTCGTTCGATATTTTGATGAGATGTATGTTGTCTCTCCTCTAGTGGTGTTATGTGAATGTTGACTACATGACACTTCACCATTATTTGGGCCTAGAGGAAGGCATTGGGAAGTAATAAGTAGATGATGGGTTGCTAGAGTGACAGAAGCTTAAACCCTAGTTTATGTGTTGCTTCGTAAGGGGCTGATTTGGATCCATATGTTTCATGCTATGGTTAGGTTTACCTTAATACTTCTTTTGTAGTTGCGGATGCTTGCAATAGGGGTTAATCACAAGTGGGATGCTTGTCCAAGAAAGGGCAGCACCCAATCACCGGTCCACCCACATATCAAATTATCATAGTAACGAACGCGAACCATATGAGCGTGATAAAAACTAGCTTGACGATAATTCCCATGTGTCCTCGGGAGCGCTTTTCTCATTATAAGAATTTGTCCAAGCTTGTCCTTTGCTACAAAAAGGATTGGGCCATCTTGTTGCACCTTATTTACTTTTATTGCTTGTTACCCGTTACAAATTATCTTATCACAAAAACTATCTGTTACCTACAATTTTAGTGCTTGCAGAGAATACCTTACTGAAAAATGCTTGTCATTTCCTTCTGCTCCTCGTTGCGTTCGACACTCTTACTTATCGAAAGGACTATGATAGATCCCCTACACTTGTGGGTCATCACTATGTTGGTGCAAGGAGAGCTTCTATGAGACTCGTGATCCAAGTCGGAGTTGTCTAGTCCTTGACGCGTCTGGCCAACTGTTTGGCATAGGTCGGCAAGGTTCTTGTGTGTCATTTGTTCAGGGAGGTCTTGATGATTTGTCCAAGGTGAAGTTGGATTCGCTTGCTTGGGGATAAATGATGGCGCTGGCATTGTAGGTAACCTTGATGGGGTATGTGGTCTTGTGGGTAGCCAGGTCGGTGGAGACCCTTCCTTATGAGCGTGTTTTAACAGTTTCACTCGGGCTTCCGTAAATCAGTTGGACAACTATCTTATACCTTTTTAATGAACCGAAGCCCTGAGTAACACTACTTAATAAAAATAGTAAAGCAAACAAATCATTGTTGGAGGATGCCTAAGTAATTTTCCTTTTTGATTGATTGAGGTAAGACGCCTCAGTTTTGTTTTTTTGTTCTTTTAGAACAACCTCAGTTCTGCTGGAAATTTAAAAGGAACATTGTTCATGTAGGAATTCTTCCCATCCCAACATTCAGAATGTAGGAAATGACTACAGTGTTGCAATCTTCCTCTCAGTGCTAAATCCTCTGGATTGTAAACATCCGCTCAGTTCTCATTTTTGGGCGGAAGACCGAGGAGAGGTGATGGTGTGGGGAAGGTTGTTGCTTTGCATGCAATAAAAGAATACAATGATATGTGTCCAATCGAGTTTGCATCAGCTGTGGCCAAACAAAATATTCCTGGAACCATGATTTCCATCAGGTGCAATAGTACGCATTCCATTGTTTCTCTTGTAGGCCTCCTTTGGTTTGGAGGAATTTCAAAGGAATTATATAAGATATGATTCTTGTAGGATTTTTTCCTCTAAAGCCCTTTGGTTCATAGGAATGGATTCCTATAAACTACATAGGATTGGTTCATATCCTCTACATTTCAAAAGAACATAAATATGAGTCTAGACTCAATGGAAAGATTCCTACGATGTGAACTAAATGACATCTCTTTTCCTAATCATACTCATAGGATTTGAGATATATGTCCTTTCATTTCCTACAAGTTTTCTATTCCCGTGATAATCCTATCCTGTGAACTAAAGAAAGTCATAACCAAATCAAACACATCGTCCCTGCATCTTCCTGTAGGCTTTTGTATCCCTTGTTTTGCAGTTGTGCTTCTTTTCTATTCCTACATTTTGTCATATTCCTATGTTTTACGTTCCTAAGATCCGAACGGGGCCTCGGTTTTTTTTTGAGAGGAACACATTCCATTCCATTATATAACATTGCTGGACAAGTCGCTAGCTACAACATCTGATACAAAGTTTGGAAATTGGCCAAGCTAGATTTCACAAGTCCCCATATCTAGAGTCATGCCATATGCAGCTAAAATGTGTGCAACCTGATTACAAGACCTTGGACAGTGATTAATACATACATCAGACATACAAGCCCTTAGCTAGAACTTTATTTCCCTAAACACTACACCTAAAGCAGATAAATCATAAGCTTCAGAAGAGACAGCTTGCTTTAGCAAAACTGGATCAGTTTCTAACATCACCCGGTCACATCCAAGTTGAATTGATGTGTTCACAGCATGTAACATCGCCAAAGCTTCAGCATGGAGAGCATCAGACACATGTTCCAGGTTCCCCGCGCCTGCTGCCACTAGCATGCCTTCATGGTTTCTAATAGTGAAGCCCCACCCTCCAAAGCAAGCCTCCGCTCGAAAAGCATCGTCCGTGTTGATCTTCAATATGTCCATACGCGGTGATGTCCATCTCGGCGTGATGTCCTTCCTGGCACCTTTATTTTGCTGCATGGAATTCAGAACATTGGCAAGATGATGGATAATTGAAAAAGGAGATTTCATCATTTGTCCCTATGACACCTCCAGCACTAGCTTTCACTGGTACGTGTCGGTGCTATACAAATGGTTTTTAACCCCTTTCCGCGACGACATTTGAACCGTCGCCAAGTGAGTGTGAGCGATAGGGAGGTCCTTCCCGCATGACCCAGAAACCGTCGGGGATAGGCCCTCCTGGCACACAAGCTGGCTCATGTGCGATCGGGCGAGGCATCGAAACCTAATTGTTTCCGTTCGTATGTACATCCCACATGGTGAATCCCAGAAAAACATTTCCGTTTGTATGTATATCACACACAGTCAATCCAAGGACTACGTTTCCGTTCTTATGTACATCCCACACAGTGAATCCAGGGAAAACGTTTCCGTTCGTATGTACTTCCCACACAGTCAATTTAGGGAAAACGTTTCCGTTCGTATGTACATCCCACACAGTCAATCCAGGAAAAACGTTTCCGTTCGTATGTACATCCCAAACGATTAGGCCGCTATAGTCGTGTGAAAAAGTTGGGCATCAACATTTAATCTGCCGATATGTTTGTGATAGGTACGTTATCACACACGGTTCAAGAATGTAAAATGTGTGCGGTGCCTCTACTAACGCCAACGTGTACATTTTCGTAACTGTGTACGATTGGTATTCATATCACACACACACACTGGTTTAAAATGTTTGCCGTATTACCATGAATCGCACACGCATATGAGACGAAATTGTGTGTGCGTCCGAAGGGCATCGCAAACGTTTCACGTCAAAAAACCGCTTGTTTTCTTTTTTTCATCACACACGCTGTTTTCTTTCGAACCGTGTGCACATTATTTTATTCGCTCCTGTACAAAAAAATTTGGCTGTAATTTATTATTTGAATTGAAAATTTTGAAATATGAAACATGCAATTCAAATTCTCAGCACAATGATTCAACAACGAATCCATAAATAAAACTGTCAGTACAATATGTTCATTAATTATACGATTAGACATTAATTAACTATGGTGAACCATAATATTTACATGCGGTATTTTTATCTCCATCTTGAAGCCATTTAACATGGGCCCTTTGGCGCCAAAATGTATCCCATTGATGCTTCAAGCGATCCAGCTTATCTCTAAGGAAATGCTCTCTAGAAATTGTCTTCTGATTGACCCCCTCCCCCCTGACTTCTCCAATTCTGTTTTCAAATCTTTTATTCTTTTTGGTAGATCGCCTAGAATGTTCATGTCCCAATCATGGAGGTTATGGGCTACTGTTTTTAGCTTTTCTGTAATGCAACTCTCATCCCTAAGTGTTGATGTATCCCAAGCATTCTTTATTACCACTTCACAATCCTCTTCCTGCAACCATTTAGCTTCAAATCTGAAAGTACGACCTCTGCCCCCCCCCCCGGGGGGGGGGGGGGTCGTTGCCTTATATGATCCTCCCATCAAAATAGTAACTGGCCTGTGATCTGAATGGTAAGGATCTCCATTTAACACTTTATAGGTGGGAAATCGAATACACCAGGTTCTTGATGTCATAGCTTGATCAAGTCTTTCTTTAATGTAATTGGAAGCAGTGTGACTATGGTTGCGCCAGGTGAACTTATCTCCCACAAAGCCCAAGTCTCGTAACCCACATTCATCCAATGCCATCCTGAAATTCTCCATCTTATTATGTGCTCGGGCTGGTCCTCCTCTCTTCTCTTTTTTTTTTGTGAGAACTCCTCCTCTCTTCTCGTGGTTATACAATATCTCGTTGAAGTCGCCTGTTGGGCCGGGCCAGCGGGCCTGCTGGTAGCTAAACTAACCACCTCGTTCATTTCCTCTCGCCTGTCGTCTTTCTCTACACTCGTCTGCTGCATCTCAGATCTCGCGGGCACCAACAAACCAAAGCTCTCCCTCCCGCTGTCCCGATCACTCTCCCTTCCAGGTAACTCCTCCTCTCTAGATCTCTCCCACCCCCATCCTCGACAAGTCTCCACGACTGATCCGATGCGCGCGTTCGCTACGTGTGATCCGCGCGCCCGTCAATCATCCCGACAGCTTTCGTTGCATACTTTTAAGCCCGGATCTGACAAGAACGGGCCGTCCAGATCCGAGCCGTGTTTTCGCCATTTGGTTTTGAGCTGCTTCTGTTGATCTTACCTATCTGGGTGCGTTTCTCTCTTCGGCAGGAAGCTTGGACCGAAGGAAGGAGCTGAGAGGAGCCCATGGGGGAATTCTCCAAGGTCTGCAGATTCTTTCGCTGTTCCTGTTACTCCCCTCGATTCTGACTACATGTATTTACATTCGAATTCGGCGTTCATTGCTCTGATCTTGCGCAACTAAATTTGGGTCCCAAGAGCTGATCAGTTGATTTGCCAGATAGAAATGCCGACCATGCATAGATGTACAACATAACTGCAACCAAACGGTTTTTGATTTCCCATCTACCAGCGGCGAAGCTCTATGATAACTGAGATTCAACACGCTGAAACTACCTCCATTCTGGAAAACTGTGAAGGCTTCAATATGTCATCTCATCACATAGTTCTGTTAATTGGTTGTTAGCATTCTTACAATATGGCACTGGAAGATAGTGTGAATTGGGTAAACTGAAACTGAAACTATATTATTGTTTGTGATTAGCACCTTCCTTTCTGTAAAGCTTAACTACTCCACAATTCCACATAGAGTACCGGTGGTCTGTCTGAAACTAGTTGATCGACCACAGTTCTTGTACCATAATTTAAGATTTTGATTTTCAGAAGCAGAGTTACAGTTCACTGCTTGATGCTAAAGGGAAAAGGACCAGGGAATACTTAGTCTGTAATATGATAACCAAAATGTTTAAATCTGACATATCATGGATTATGTATTAACTATTTATACTCTTCACTGATTTACAGAAATTCTTATTTTCTCCCTCTTTCACTGTGGTTACCTTTGTTTTTCTTATATGAAAATGGTGCTTTCGATTGATAAATATGAAGTGCAGCAGCAGCTGGCTTATTTCTCTGGAGAAAGTCTTGTAATGATTGCCCGTTACCGTTCACAGGAATCTTGCCCTTCTGTGAAGAACATTTTGCTATTGGATTCTGAGGGGAAGCGTGTTGCTGTGAAGTACTTCTCGGATGATTGGCCAAATAACGCATCTAGGTTGACCTTTGAAAAGTCCATTTTTACTAAAACTCTGAAGACAAATGCACGCTCCGAAGGTAATTCATTCATAGTGTGTAGCATGTGAATTCTTGTCTTACCATCACTGTAGCACTGATTTTATTTGCTTTTTCCATTTTTCACCATTGGTCAACGATTGTAATTCACAAAATTACTTGAATTTGCCATTAGTGACTCGTATTTGAGACCATAATTGCAATACATGCATATCTAGGCCCGGCCTTAAGTTAAAGCCCGATACTGATTTATAATGCAGGTAATACTCCGTAAGATGCTTTATTGGTTTTAGAGTATTTGGTAGGAACGCATTATTTGATTTTATTGACAATTATTCAACACATCTCTTGTCTGTGGTATGTAAATGGCATCACGTGTTAACAAAGAGCCATTAGTTGAACAGAAAGTATTTCATGAACGGTTCATGCTAGTTTACTGCCAATTGTATGCCCTAATTGAGGAACCCTGAATGTCCAATGACCGTGAAATGTTAGTTATTGGATGGGTGAAAAGTTTCAGGTTTATTTCATTAGTATACTATGTTCATTAATATCAACTATTTTGTTGTCTGAATTAAATTTGGATTTACCTTTGACACCTATTTTTATTCTCTGCAGCTGAGATAACATTGCTTGATGGTTTTATTGTTGTTTACAAATTTGTACAAGACCTACACTTTTTCGTCACTGCCGGAGATGATGAGAATGAGCTCATCATAGCAAATGTGCTACAGGGTTTTGCTGATTCGGTTGGTCTTCTACTCAGGTAATATACATGTTGTAATGTTACTGCATGAACTTGGACTTGATACTGGTATTTGTAAGGCAGTTGGTTTAAGGTGCAACTTATTGTGCTTTAGGGGTGATGTCGAGAAGAGGACTGCACTTGAGAACTTGGACTTGATACTTCTCTGCATTGATGAGATTATTGATGGCGGGTAAAGTTTTCTTGTGATCTATGCTACATTTGGATCTTCTCATGTTTCATAATCCTCTATTGACATGAAGGTGTTGGGCATCATACTTTTGTGCCATTTCAACATTCTGCAGCATGTTTATGTTGTAGTGTTATCTACTTTTTATTTTATGTCCATTTTCTGGGAGCTCTCATGGAGTTTCCGTAATAGATAGGAAAAGGTTGGCCCCATTTAAAACACATGAGTTTTACAGGACATGGTTTAATTTCTATGGAATCTGTAAAAAATCCAGTGTTCCAAACAAGAGGGCCCTTAAATAAGTGAGCATCTTAAACAACTAGCCAACTAGTCACCAGCAGTGTTTAGGAACATATCATGGTTGATGCTGATTTCAGATAATAATGACCTTAGTTCACTAGACCACAAAAATTTCTTCTTGTGATATTTTAGTGTTTATATATGCATGCTAAAGATTTGAAAATAAACTGAAACTATGCGATCCTTTTTTGTATTTGTGCAGCATAATTCTTGAAACAGATGCGAACACCATTGCGGGGAAGGTTGCAACCAATGCTGCTGACGGCTCTGTTCCCTTCTCTGAGCAGGCAAATTTCTGAATCTCCGTACCTGCACATTCCTGTCATTTATCATATGGTATCTCATAGTTTTTCTATTTGGCTGTTTGTTCTCTGCAGACAATATCTCAAGCTCTGGCCACAGCCAGGGAACACTTTGCAAGATCTCTTCTGAAATGAGAAGCCGCCGTTTCTTCTTTCACCCCTGTGTGTTCGAGGTTGGGCTACTATGCTAGGCCTGGCAGCGGTCACTTAACCAAAAGCGCAACTGTGGCAGACAGATGTGTCTGGATTATTCTTAAATGCTATGTAATACCATTTTCTTGTTAAATGCATGCTGTGTATCTTACATTTTCTGGAGGTATAGAGAAATAATTTTTGAAGTTGATCCAATTTCTGCGAACTAACACTCTTCTCAAACCGGAAAGGGCTTTTTTCTTTTCTTTTCTTTGCAAGAATGATGTCTGTATTGCCAAGCATGAGCCAGAAATGGCCTCATCGACGAAACGCTATCTCTAGGGGTGGGTTCTCAGGAGATGACTTGAACCTCTGAATTCTTGTAGGCAGCCCAAATGGGTGCAAGAGGGATGTTTAGCCTCCCGTACAGTAGTCACCGAGAGAAGTGACGAAAATTCTAAGTTAGCCTCCATTGGAGAAAAAAAATGAGGAAAATTGAAGAAGATTGTCATCAAGCAAATGGCGTTTGTCCCAGAGGTTTTGAAGTTGAGATCTACCACCCCTTCTCTTTCAAGCTTTGGTTCCATCATCTTTGATGAGGTTATAATCCTTGGCTCTTTCTACCCTAAATCTTACTGCCGTCATCTAAGGTAGTGATATCTTAATGTATGATAGCCTCCAAAACTACTTAGAGAGGAAACAAATTCTGTCCCATGTTTGATAATAATGAAAGAAGATTTGAGTCGCTTCATCTAGTGGGTTTTACCCTAATTTGGGGGCTTTTCCACGTTAATATTTGGTGTCTATGTGTGTTTATATTGATGCTACATTTTTCTAGAAGAATGTAAAACACCTGTTGCTTGTCCTAGCTATGTGCTGGAAGCACTCAGGGCTTGCCGTAAGTTCAACCAGTGAGGTTGAACTAATTCACTCCATATGTTAGAATGTTGATGCATGTGTTTCTTTCCACGGTGAGCAACGATCCCTGAATATGTGCATGAAATAGTGCTGAAATTACACTTCGATTCCATCATAGTTTTCATATTAAGTGTACGTATGCTTATTCCCAACGCTATGGTCACAAGTTGTCTAGAATCCACCTCTGGGTTCCCTTTAATTTCTAGGAGGGGCCTTAGGTTGCTAGCAGGTAATGCATTAAAAAAAGGAATCTTTCTCGAGTTTATCTGGACAGTCCACAATAATTTTTTGTAAAGTATAGCTTTCAGAGATTTCTCATCTCAAACTTCATAAAACGCTCTTAGACTTCGCACTTTGACGGTAAAAGAGGCGAAAAAAGCAATCCATAGAAGGATTTGGCACCCTCACTAAATTCAGTGGTTAATAAAATTTGTAAATCGGTGGTTCCTATTTGGAGAAGAATCAGCAGAATAGCGTCAACCAGCACCACAACTTCCTACAACTGGGAGAGAGCCGCAGGCACCCGCACCCACTCCTCTGTCTGATCCCATGTTTGAGGAATTTCATGGATGTGATAACACCCTAGGTTTATTTGGCATGTACTTAGAGAAATATTAGCACCATACATTTTTTTTCGCACTTTAGCACTATTTTGTTTGAAATCTATTTACTTGCTCCCTTATGGGCGAAGACAAGTAAAAAAAAATGACACTAGCACTTACAAAAGACACTGTTATGGTCTATGGGCCTTGTGGACTTCGCACTAGTTTACACATTGTGCCAAAACCACGGTAAATAAACATCACATTAGGGAAACCACGTTTCCAGTTTGCATTTTAACTTGACTTTTTTTCTTAATTAATCCTTAGAATATCACATCATAGTCCAAGATTTTGCTACAAAATTTTTTATCGGCACCACATATTCCTTGAGAATAAATCAACTCTAGGCAATAGTAGAGGTGGTTGTATCCTAGACCAACATGATACTATGTTCGATTTCGTCAATCTTCCATCTTCTGCGACTTTAGGTTTTAGTAGGCATTGTGTGGGTGCACACATGTGATGATGTTAATGTGCGTGCAGAAAAGTGTTGTACTAGTTGCCTGTAACCAAACAATCACCTATGTTCCTCACGAACAAAGATGCACACATATTAAGCCCCAATTTAGTTAGGCATTAGACATGATATGAAATTAGAGATGTTAAGCATAACCAACAGGTGAGTTATTTGGCCATAAAGTCCTAGATTTCCCCCCTAAAATTAAGCTTTATCAAACCCCGTTACATCAAGTGATACAACTTCAAGAATTCACCTCCGGCCTTTTCATTCGAACAAGCATCTTAAATGAAAAAAAATGAATTGTGCCACCTTTTATTATTATAGTTCCAACTCGATCGTCAAAACGTCCCGTGTCGTCTAAAAGTGACACAAATGTCCATCTAGTGTGCTTATGGTTTTATGTCTACAAGTTATGTCAAAGCACCTCTCATACATAATCAGTATGTTGCATGTGGGCATGAAGACAAAACTGAGTCAATACTACTAATTACGAGGGGGTTTCATCGATAAGATCAGGCCGGCTCTGATATGGGAGCGACAACAGCGGTGCGTCGGTGGCTCGCTCTGGCGGCTGCAATGGTCGCTCGATTGTCCATGGACCTTGATGTAATTTTTATTATGTTTGGGGTGTTTGTACTTTTCGTGAATCTTTATAATAGCTCTGATCTTTTGTAAAAATAATAATTAGGAACGCCATTCATCATGGAAAAACAAAAAATAAACCTATGGCTTCTAGGCATAGCCGGTCCTAAGCCCGGGTAAAGGAGGAGGGTTGTGATAGCTTGGCGAGCCAACGTAAAAACTAGCCAGTCCCATAGGTATGAAACTCATTTGAGCGAGAATAGTATTAAGATGAGTGACCTCCTGTGAAGTCCTTGTAAAAGGGTTTCATATCTAAGGGTTGTGATAGGCTTGGCGAGCGAACGTAAAAACTAGTCAGTCTTTTGGGTATGAAACTCATTTGAGCGAGAGTAGTATTAGGATGGGTGACCTTCTGGCTCCTGAAAAGCCCTCGTGAAATGGTTTCATATCTAGACTATCTCAACTCAACTTGTTTGGAACAGAAGACTTCGTAAGTGATGGTAAGTGAGTGATTCATCGTGGAAAAACAGAAAATAAAATTTAATAAAGGGCAGTGATCTGCGCCGGCGCACCGGCCCAACGTTTCGGCCGATCGCGCGCGGGCCGTCAGATCAAATCGCGGGAGGCCGTCAGATCTAGGTAAGAAAACGATTCGCCCAGGCTCCCTTCTTCCTCACGTTGTCTCCTCTCCCCCGAGCGCCGCCGAGACCACGCCATACCGCGCGAGAGAACGGCCGAGCTTGAAGCACCACCGCGGCGTTTCCTCGTCGCCGGTGGGCGCCCTCGCCGGCCTTTTGCGTTTGCCCAAGAACAGCGGTCGCCATGGATGCAGCTCCGCCGCCCGCGCTCGTCGGAGATCCGCGCTCGCCATGGATGTAGCTCCTCTGGCCGCGCTCGCCATGGATGCAGCTCCGCTGGCCGCGCTCGCCATGGATGCAGCTTCTCCGTCCGCGCTCGCCATGGATGGATCCCGCCTGCGCACGCCATGGATGCAGCTCCGCCTCGCTGACGATTGACTGGTTCCAGCAAATATAATTGACCGTTGTAGCATTTTTCGTTGTTGGTCGTAGCAAAATGGAGACATGGTTGCAACAAAAAAAACGGGTTGTAGCAAAACATTTGCATTCTGAAAAAATGAACGGATGTAACAAAGCCCGTTGCCGGACGTAGCAAATACCTATGACAGTTGTAACAAAAAAGCCGTCGTCGTCGTCACGGGTCGCAGCTCGGCCATGATGGATGTAGCAAAAACATTATGCCGGTTGTAGCAAAAAACGATGCTAGTTGTAGCAAAATCCTGCTACGGTTGCAGCAAAACATCGTTGTTCGTCGTCGCGAGGTCCGAGCTCCGCCTGATGGATGTAGCAAAAAGCTTCGCCGGTAGTAGCAAAAATCAACTATGGTTGCAGCTTCCCCTTGTTGTGCAGTGCCATTGAAGCTTTCTATGTCTATGGTTGAAGCTTTTTTGAATGGCCGTTGAAGCTTTTTTAGGTGACGGTAGCAACACTTCTATACGCGGGTGGATCCGGGCATGGCGGGCAGGCAGTTATGGCGCGCGGCAAGGGAGCGCCCTGGCCGCCGGCGATGGAGCTTGTGGTGGCCCAGTCGCTGCCCGGGAGGAGGAGGAGGGGAGGGGATGCGCGCCCTAGAAAGCTGTACGTTGGGGATGGATCTGGCCATGGCAGCAGACAGCCATGGTGGCCGGCGAGGGAGCGCCTCGCCGCCGGCGAGGGAGCGCCTCGCCGCCGGCGAGGGAGTTCGTGGAGGCCCAGTCGCAGCTCGGAGGAGGGGAGGTGCGCGCACGTAGGCTGGAGGTAGGAGATGGAGGCGTGTAAGGAAGGAGAAGGGGATGCGCGGGCGTGTTTGCCAGCGTGGCGTGCGAACCGGCGGAACGGTTCGGCCGGTGCGCCGTTTCTAAACGATTCCCTTTAATAAAGGAAAAGCAAGCAAACCTATCGAGACCCCTCTCTCCGTCATCTTTCGCGTTGCGCGCTCTCACTATCACTGACAAATTGACCCCACACTCTCCCCTATATAAGGCCTCGCTTTCCTTTTTCCACCCCGCATTGACCTCGTCAACTCATTCCCCCTGATCACCGGCCACCGGCCACCGCCACGCCATGGCTCCAAGGCTTCCACCCTTCTACCTCCTCCTCGTCGCCTTCTTCCTCCTCCCCCTCAAGCCGCCGCCCACCGCCGAAGCGGCTACCACCGTCGCCTTCTCCTTCCCGTCCTTCTCCCTCCGAAACCTCACCCTCCTCGGCGGGGCCTCGCTCCGCTCCGCCTCCGTGTCCCTCCCGCCGCCCTCCTCCCACGCCCTCTTCCCGCTCCCTCTACCGTTTCCTCCCAACGCCTCCTTCTCCACCTCCTTCCTCTTCGCCTCCCCGGCCTCCGCGCGCCCCGCCTCCCGCCTCTCCTTCCTGCTCCTCCCCGACCCGGTC